CTTAGTAGAAAAAAAACTTTTTACAGAAATGTATGTGGTAATGTGTTGCTCAGCAATAAGAAATGTAGCTAGGTGATTTCTTCATGGTGTGAACAGCAGAGCATATTTACCCAAATGAAGATGGCTAAAACCTATGATACAGTTATACGGTACCAGTTGTATATGCAGTCTGTCATGACCAAAACATCACTACATGGCAGATAACTACAAACATACCTATTAAATTTAAAATTATACAAACATAACCACATGAACATAAAAAAGTTTAAGGGAAAAATAAAATTAAAAAGTGACTTAAATTTTGTATACTTTGTATTTAAGGGTGTATTTGTGTAATTATAACACACAATTACAATACTCTTGAAACTAAGGTTATCATTCTACAAAAAGGAAAAGTTGAACCCTAGCAAATAATTTCAGGCAATGTGGCTTTAGCAGCGTTTTAATTTCATTTTCAAGTATATTCTTCAAAATCTTTCATTTCTTCATTGTCACATCACCTGAATTTATACTTACATTCTCCTAAATATGCCACTATGTAAGATTTAATCTTGAAAGCAGATAGCCTTTTATAATTATGCATCTTCCAAAGTGTTGAAGTACTTAGTATTTGCTGAATTTGAAAAAATGTACATGCTGTACTTCAATATATTATAAAAATCTCTTAGTATGTGTTTTTGCTGTTTCAATTGGAAGCGCTAAGGTGCCTGGATATAGCTATATATATTTTTGGATTTTCTTTTTCCTCGTTCCCAGTCAATATCCCATGTAGACGATTTTCCCACATTGTACCAGAGTCCCAAACCCAAGAGACAAAGCTCTTTTCTCTTTTTAGAAGACTGTGAGCTGAGATACAAAACAAAACAAAACCAAAAAAACAAATACTGACTTTACCGTGTTCTAGCCATTGTTCAATCTGTAAGCATCTGCCAGGATAAAGATTAAATGTGACAGCATACAATTTCTTTCATTAATTTGTTCTTTCCAACTTCCATGTATTCTGAATTTGAGTTCCATTGCAAAATGTATCCTCGTGTAAAGAAGGGTTATTTTTGGTTTACCAAATTGTCCCAACTAATCCTATACTTTTATTCAGTTGTGAAATTTTCCCATTTTTTTTGTTTCTACATTTCACTGAATGTACTTATATTTTTGAGCCCAATTAAGTAGAAACTTCCTTCAAAGATGACAAAAAGTTGCCCTATCATATCATGCAAGATTAACTTTCTTCTGCTAAAACTATACTTATACCAGTTCTCCCAGGCTTCATATTCACATAATTTGAGTGCCCTGAGCATCTTTTCTACGGACTTTAAGAGCAAGTAAACCTTTCCCAGAAATACCTCAGCACTTCATTTGCATAAGTATGCATAAATTACCTAGTCTTCCTAAATATAGTTCTGGCAAAAAGAATGCCTTCTGATTTAGAAGTTCCCCAGGGAATGGGATCAGTCAGTCAGTCAGTCAGTCAGTAAAGTCTACTTTCTCCAGACAAGGCCAGCTATTCCTGACTCGAGTTCAAGCAAATTGGGATGGAAATTTGATAAAATAACTGTTTGGAATAATTAATGGAGGCTACGCTATTACAGATAGTCAGGAATATTTACACAGCTATTTATAATTTATTAATGAGACATCTGTGAAGGCTATTCTCAAATTATTTTTCAAACTGTGCAATCCAGTGGCAGTGATCATAGCCAGCTGCCTAGAAAATACAATGCACATTTCTGAAAATATCCTCTCAAAACAGAAGAGCCTCAGTTTATTAGCTTTTCTACAGCACAGAATAAGGATTTGGAATTAGAATGACATAAAGAATTTGATCTTATGTAAAACCCATTTACGTACCGTATCTAAAAGACAGTGTTCTGGGCTTAAAATCCAAGAAAAAAATTCCATAGCAAAAAATTTCTTTAATCTGAATAGGCTTCCACGTTATGTTACTCATATCTTAATTTTCAACTTCTACCATAAATACATGTCAGCATTTTTGTAATTTATAAACCAGCCATGACCCAATTTAGTATTCCAGCCAAAACATAGGTGTGTCTTATTAAACTTGAATTCATATTCCAGAATTTATTAGCCATAAAGGAACCCTTGGAATCTGTAAGGCTAAATGTAGCCTAGTCTAACCACTTAAAAGTCAAATTACCTGGGGTGACAGATTCAGAGGTCCAAGATCTCAAACAGGTTTGACCTGTCATAAAAACTAGCAAGATTCAACAAGTCTTTCTGAACCTCTGTGCATGTGTTCGCTTCGGCAGCATATATGCAGAACCTATGTGCAAGTTTAGGACAGAGGAGACTAAAAGAACAACAGAGAGGGCAAGATTTAGAAACACAAAAGGCAAAATATAAAAACAAAATGGCCTACTTGACAGAGTAAAAAAAAAAAGTACCACCCTCAAAAACTTGGGATATAAAAGTTAGGGTCAGTTCCATCCCATGCGCCTCAACTATATTTCAAATTGTATTAGGAATGTTTCTTTTTAAAGTAAAATTTAGCAGAGATCAGAATGATTCATTAGTGTCAGACACTTACCTTGGGGGTCAAGGAACTCTGGTATGACAAAGTAAATACTGGCAACAATTCCATTTCAAAGACATCAACATGGCCAAGGACATACTTTACAATATTAGGTCAAAGATGATGCTACATGCCCTCCAGAAGACCAAAGTATTTTATAGCAGGATGAAGACAGGTTACCAAGAGCAGAAGGGTACACCCATAACTAGTCCTCTTCAAAAGATAAATGCAGTTTCTAGTTCTATGAAATCATGCATTTAACAGACATATGACAATTATGTATGTTCACATTACTTGGGAATGACTTTTCCTGATACTATGATTATGGAAGCGACCAAAAGATCTTTTGGCTAACAAGCTGTTTAACAAAACAAATCAAATCACCAATTTCCTTGACACATCCATTCAACTGGGGGAGGTGGGTGTCTCCATAAAAGTAGTATAGCTATTTAAGAATTCTTTTGTGGAATTGATATGAATATTAAGTGGGGGAAAAAAAGTCTAAAGTCTTTCTTACAGAGTGCTAATGGGTAAGAGAAGCTCCAAGGTGGTGGTGGTCACTTTTAGAGAATCCACATTATGCCTGAGTAAAGGCAAATCCAAGAGAATTACATGTCTGAATCCACTCCTTTTTAAATTTTACTCTAATCTCCCGCCCCAACCCCCCAAATCACGACCTGAATTTCTACTCAGCAACTGGTTTCCTGCTTTTCTGAGTGAACACACGACACTGATGCAGATTTATAGAACCACAGCAATGTGCAGAACATGAAATTTTGCCCTTCAGTGATACCACCTGTCACAAAAATGCTCTACTAATGTTAGGTAATGTAGTAGCTAGATTTAACTAGGCTATTAAGGCAAATATGTAAAATTACACAATCTCATGGCCAACACAGCTAACACATTTTTAGAATGACAAGCTTTGTAAACAATGGTGGCTTTTAGAACGTATCACACAACACTAAGCTCTTAACACCCAAAAGTGAATGGACTCTAAAAATCTTAGGCTTAATGAAGTCTGATGGCAATGTTAACATTTAAAATCCTCAGCAAAAATTCACACCTTCACTTTAGATACTAGTTTATACTGTTTTTGAAAAGTTGATGAGGTGCGTCTTTCTTTGTCAAACTGGATGTGAGTTGAAACTTCGCCTTGTCAACTAACTAATGCTTTGTAATATTGGGTGAACTTCCAACTGTCCAAAAACCTATTTTCCTAAGTGTAGCGATTCAGATGTAATGAAGTAGGTCAGTGCACATAAGGAGCAATGCGTGTGCTGTACATAAGTGTTCCATGACTTAGAATTATTATAACTTCAGGAAAATAATTTCAGTAATACCTATCAGTTTGCATAATTGGCTGTTTCATAAAACAGAATGCTTGGTGATTCTTCCAAATCTCAGTATTTTTTAGTATTTAAGGACTTGAAAAAATAGCAAAACTTGCTATACAATACAATTATAAACACAAAAATGTCAAGAAATGAAGGATTTAATCATCAAATGGTTTAAAGGCAGTGCCAGTGCCAAAGTACGAACTTGATTTCCAAAAGCGAAAAAAAAAAAAAAGAGAAACAAGTATTGCTAATGTTCTCTCCTGTAAACATTACATAAACTGTAAGATAAATCCAGTCTGAGGCAAATGAAACTATTTATTGTGAAAATGTACAGGGAAATATTTTAAATGTAGGTATGAATATGAAATTTTAAATATCTTTCAAAAGTAAAACTGCTTTCTCTTCAATACAGATTAAATGCAAAACTGTACTGTGATTTGGTACAGACTGTAATGACACTGTTTTACAAACAAAAAAAAGCAAACATTCAAGTATCTCTAATCTTTTAACCTCATGAAAGCCAAAACTTAAAGTGTAGCATCAGAAATGTAGAAAATTTTTCCATAAACTCTGTGGCTGTATTTTATAGTCTATTACAAGAAAGGGGGTTTGACAGCTGATATATGCAACTAATTGTAAGACCCAAATTTCATGTGTATTTAAGTAAAATAGGAAACTTTACACAGTAGTTTATGGAAAATTAAAAACTAAAGGACATTCTGTGGTCAGCATAGAACTCAAAATGTTACCAAATATATAAACATATCAAGATTTTACCACATAGCATAAGTTTTTATATTAGAGAAAGCATTCTTTTATGTCCATCAATGTACTGTAAAACAAACTGGCAATTAGGATAGAAATAAAACAGGTGTTAATCTTTACCATTTTATTTTATACAAAACAGTATCAATGTAGAATATGGGAATTATCTTCTGCTGCCAAGCAAGCAAGATGTGAACATTCCAGGCCAATGTATACAATTTAGAGGGCAAGGCTAAACAATAGCAGCAATCATGCTACTTAACATTGGAATTTTTTATTTAAAAAGATTAAAAATTAGATAGCAATGTCTTGCTCTCATCATTGAAAACTAATGAAAAATAAAAAGTGTCAATAAGTTTAAAAAAAAAATAAGTAAAAACCAAGAGGCTGCTACAACACTGCCATACAGTCAAACCATCATACTCCAGTATTTGCATACTTGATAGCAGCATTATTTTTACTGAACCGTGTGCAACTACACGTATATATACATCAAAGCAAAATACCATGGCAGTTGTCAATCAAAGACTGAAAAGGAAAAAAACAAAAAAACACTCTAAGATGAAAACTATAAGATGAACATTTATGGAGAACGAGTCAATATCTACATTCTTGGACTGTTCCATTCTGCCTCAATAAAAGTGACAAACAACTGTTAATTGCATTTTTGGTGGATTTGAGTTTTTCCAGTTATTATACTGCATGCTTGGAACAAACAGGGTGATAGTATATCCTTCTACACAATGAGTAAGTAGACAGCTGAAAATAAACTACGTGTAAACACACACACACACACACACACAGACGCACACACACACACGCGCGCACGCACACACAAAATACAAGATTTTTTTCCATCTTCAATCAGTGCTTCCCATAACTCTATCTTCGATATCGACCTCTCTCCCCTCGGTCTCTGTCCCGGTCACAAAGTCGCTCTCTTTCTCTTTCTCGGTCCCGTCCTCTATCTCGCTCTCTGTCTCTTCTGTTATCTCTAGGGCGGTCTCGCTCCCGTTCCCGGTCTCTTTCACGGGGTCTACTTCTCCGACCACTGACAACAGCTTGTGTGCGTCGAAGGAAATCATCAACCCTCATATCATAATCATGCTAGAAAACAGAAGAAATAAGTTAGGCACGCCAAAAATTTCAATGGAATTTGTGAGCCTGATTAATAGAAGAAATTTTAAAATTATAGTAATTCACATAACACGGTTCAGAGAAAAAGATTTTGATGCCAAATTAGACATCTATAAAGATACAATCTATTTGTGAAAGTTCTACTCGATTTGATTGACTTCTCCACCTGCCATTTTAATGAGATTTTGGCCGAAGTTATCACCTAATCATGACCATCAACCATTATACTTGAATGCTGCCAATTATGCTAAACATCACCAATGTGGTTTTACGCAACAGGCTAACCTTTTTTTACTCTCCTTCAACACCACAAAATATAACAGAACTCTGCCAGATTTTCTTAATTGAGGAATGTGATGAACTATAAGAAAATAGATATTTCATTACAAATTAAGACACTGTGATTCCATCTCCAGAAAGAATGCCTGCTATCAAGAAATCAAAAACAAATGTTGAAAGGGTTGTGGGGAAAAAGGAACTCTTCACTGTTGGATTGAGTGTAGACTGGTGGAATCACTGTAGAAATCAGTGTGGAGATTTCTCAAAAAAAAAAACAAAAAAAAAACAAAAACAAAAACAAAAAAAACAAAAACAAACCTGAAACTAGAGGTTCCATTTGACCCAGCTATACCTCTTCTTGGTTATCTTTCCAAAAGAATTAAAAGCATCATACCATAGTGATATATGCACACTCATGTTTACAGCAGCAGTGTGTAATAGCTAAATCTTGGAAACAGCTCAAATGTTCATCAACTGATGAGTAGATAAAGATGATGTGGTTTTTCTATACAGCAGAGCACTACTCCCATAAAGGACAATCTTCAGACATTTGTATCTAAATGGATGAACACTGAGACCACAATCCTAAATGAAATAAGTTGGATACGCATGTTTAAATACCACACTGTTTCTCTGGTATGAGAAACTGACAGTGGAAGTAAGGACTGAAATGTATAATGGATATTGGGAAATGGGAAGAAAGTATTCAAATGGGAAGAGGAACAAGGGAGGAGAAAGGGAAAAGGAAGGGACAAGAAAAAAATGAAAATAGAAGGCAAAAAAAGGAAACAAAACTTTTATGTATAAGAAGAGAGGGAGATCAGGAAAAACGCAGCAGCAAGATATACCCCATAAAGGTTCATATTCCCTATGATGAATGTGATTATTATGCAAATCTATAATGTAGTAATGAATGTTTTGCTTCAAAGAAAAAAAAAAGAAAATATGTTCTACATAGTTTATAGAGCACTGAAAGATAAGTCGAAGAAGAGTAGATGAGCAACTGAGATGCAAGGGAAAGCTGTGGATAGTTGACCCTTGCTCTAGGTTAAGCTTTCTACTGAGTTCTCAGCTCACCTTTTTGTACTGAATTGGATCTGCTTTCACAGTTAGCCTAAATGTACAAAATATAAGGTTCAAAATGTAATTCCTCACTACCTTTCATATATATACAGAATGTATGCTAACCATAGGTTTACTACAGAGGTCTATAAAACAAAACTTCTTAACAATGGTAAGTATACTTCAGTAAAAGACTTCCTGTTTTAAAAATGATATCATTTATTAAGGCATTTTAAGATATCACAGTTCAACTAATCAACTAAAGTATCATCATACATGAGGTATATTTTTCTTTTTTGTGTGAATGAAAACACCTATCACTTTCAAATTAGTCAAGATTCTCAAATTAGTTTATAGGATGTTAAAGGTCCTAATTTGATTTATTGTGAAAGATTATACATTTTTATCAGAATAAACAGGATGGTAACTCATAAAAATGACTCAAAAGATAGACCAGGAATCAAGTGTTCTGACCAAATCTCAGATCTGTGCATTCTTCATATTACTGGGACAATACTGTTTATTTGCCTCTGCCAAACACTCAAAACCTTACGGGTGTGTGTGTGTGGGGGGAGTTCAGCTTGCACATTATTATCATTATTACTATTATTGTTTTTTGGTACCAGAGATGGAACCCAGGACCTTGTGCTTGCGAGGCAGCCAGAAGAACCACTGAGCTAAATCCCCAGCTCGTACATTTTCTTTAATACACCTACCTTTGCATGTATAAAACTTACATGCATATGGATTATACTTCCAACAAGTACGAGAGGACAATTTTCAATTTTTAAAGTAAAAATACTACTGTGGAAGAAATGAGTGATTAATAAACAAGCAACCCTACTAGTGTGAGAAAAATCTAATAACCTCAAAACTAGCAGTTGACTTCCACTGTTTGCAGTGATCAAAAAACTTTCACAGCAATCTTATCAAATAATTACAAATAATTACTAGAGAGCAATTATTTTCCCTTATTTCTAAAAAATTAGTTGTTTGCAAGCATTATCTTAAGAACTAGAGGTAAGAGAGGCAAAACAACTTACCTGGCTAGTAGTTTTAAACAAAATTTGGTACAAATTAAATGATATGATTTCATCTGTTAAAATATAGCATCTCTCCTACAAAAGCTTAGTCATACACATAACCCAGGTAGTATATACTTATATTACCAACGTTTGATATGAAGTTAAACTTTAGTGCATGATTCAATTAGTAAAAGAAAAAGAAATCTAACTCAAAGCACATCAGTAATTTTTAATAAAGACAGGTTGTGAATCACTCCGTTGCTAAACGTAATCTGATGTTACTACAGTTAAATTACCTAGACATCACTAAACAAAATCTGGTATCCCCACATTTAAATTACCTATAAAATTCTAAATAGTTCCCTCACACCTCTGCCTTCCTGTGCACTTACTACTCGTTTATCTCTGTATCTTGCTTCATGTGGTACTGCATGATGTCCTGAGTAAGGGGGATGAGCCTGAGGAGGTGGCGCATGATGCTGATAGTAAGGATGGTGTGGAGGCTGTTCCATTCCTGGATAAGGGGGCTAAAAAAATAATAATAAATAATGAAAAAAACTTTTTACAAAATCACTATCATAAGAATATACCAAATATCCTTATTAAAAACTCATTCTGAGAATTCCCCTATTTAAACCACCAAATTCAAAGAATGTGTACACCCATGTACTTTGATATACACTTAAGATTCTTCAAGATAAGCGTTTTGTTGAAAACAAAGTATTTGTAAGAAACTGTAATTACACATCGTCTAAGACAACATGTGTTTAATTTTTCTAATATCATTTAAATTTTAATAGAGAAAAGGCTAATAAAATAGCATGGTCTTAGTACTAAGAGCCAGGCAATATCCTAAAACACTATTTCTCAATGAATTCTCACAACCAGTCTATGAGATAGGTACTATTTACTCCTACTTTTACAGTGGGCTGGGGATTTAGCTCAGTGGTTCTGGTGCCTGCCTCACAAGCTCAAGGACCCGAGTTCGATCCCTGGAACAAAAAAAATTACATGCCTCCCACTTACTTAAGGGAAAAAGTGAGGTATCAAGAGATTAGGTTAACTGCTAGTTACGGGTTACAATCAAAATGCAAAAAGCCGGGCGTGGTGGCGCACACCTGTAATCCCAGCACTCAGGAGGTTGAAACAGGAGGATCGCTGTGAGTTTGAGACCAAGACTGGGCTACACAGTGAGTTCCAGGTCAGTCTCAACTACATAGTGAGACCCTGTCTCAAAAAAAGAAAAAAAAAAAAAAAATGATGCAACATCAACCAGTGTGGTTCTAGTTTAGGTGATTTGGATAAACAATGTACACAGATTCTGTTCTCAACAACAAAAGATAAAAGCTAATAACCTTTAACATATGAAATAAAGGTCGAATAGATTATTTTCAGTGTCAAGTTCATATATAAAACATTTCAATGTTTTTATATTTCACAGATTTCAAAGAAATTTCATAATCTACCTGTACGAAACAGTATAAAACTGTCAATTTAAGCAAAAGATTGGATGAAGAGGTCACACAAGCAGTAGCATTTAAAATAAAAGGACAGGGCCAGGGATTTAGCTCAGTGGTGCTGCACCTGCTTTGCAAGCGCAAGGTCCTGAGTTTGATCTCCAGTACCAAAAAACAAAAATAACAAAAAAGATGAAACAGAATAAAGAAAGAAAGAGATACTTAAGATTACTGAGTATATAAAAAACTGTTTTGGTTATCTTTAATATTTTAAAATGTACTCTAATATATCCAGTTTTCTTAAGGTAACTGAAAAGAAATAACCATAATTGAATCAATTTTAAACATGTACTTTTACACATTTATCTTCTCAATAATCCTAAGGGGGTTTATAATATTCCATTAAATGTTAAACTACTCAAAAATAGGCATAATATTCCTTCATTATACAGAATCAGTACTAGTTTTTTGAGGAGTCAAAGAATAAACACGTACCCACTGAATTTTACAGATGAGGAAAACTAAGAAATACGGTATAAAATTTGTTCTGGATTTCAGAATTACAATCTGAACCTCCAGGTAGAGCTTGCACCAACTAACCACTACCTATAAAATGCTACTGAACATGTCAACAAAGCTTACACTATTAACACAAATCAACAAGTCATTCATTTAAAAAATATCATGCAATTACTTACTGCCAAACATTTGTATTTTAAGTTCTCTTAGTGACCATAACCAAGTATTCCAAGTAAGCATTCAAAATATGAACTGCAAATTAAGTTAATTATAAAAACAGAATAATACAAACCATTCCTTGCCACGGTGGTGGTGGTCCCATGTTATGAAATTCCCTCACATAATCATTGTAGGACTAAAATAAAAGATGATAATGTCAATAAAAATAAAAATCATCTCAGGATTAAAAAAAAAATTAGACGCTGGTTTTATCTATTAAATACATAAAATTTAATGCTTACCCCATTTAAAAACACATCTCGGCGAACTCCTGAAAATCGTCTGTTGGGAATAAGATTTGTGAAACTAAATTCAGGTAATTCATAAACTAGTTCCAAGAATGTAATTCAAAGTGAAGCAGGAGTGAACCCAACTTACCTGTCTACTTCTTGGTATCTTGGATCCTTTAAATACCCTGTTCAAACATCAAGCATTTCAGTAAATCAAATTTATATTTTCTATTATGGCATCATAATTAAACCTTCATTACCACTTGTTTTAATTCTTCTCATGGAATATGTACTTTTAAGAGATGCTATTATTCCATTTTCACTTTTAAGATATTCTATGAACTAAATAACTTAATAATATCACAGAATTATAAACTTCTAGAGATTTTCATATACATCTTCTAAGTTCATGATCCAAGTGTTACTACATAAAAAAATTTCTTCATTTTGCAACCATAGGGAAAATATGAGCAGAACTACCTTGAGGACATTTGTATAGTAAGATTTCCTTAAAACAAATGTTTACCTTTTACCTTGAGTATATACACACCTCACTAAGTAAATCAGATTACATTTTAAAAAAATATTTGATGAAGAGAAACACAAAATTGTAAAAGTTGAAAAAAATGAAGGTATATACATTTTAAATGAAAGAATCTTGGTGATAAAAGGAAGAAATTATCTTTTCCCCCAATTCTTTAAGAACCCAACAAACTAAATGTCAAAATACTTGAGCAGTTATGTTACTAGGGAAAAAAATTATTTGCACTAGCACAATAAAACTTCCTATTTTAGAAAAGAATGAGGCTTCTATCAAAGCTGTTATGCGTTATAAAGCTCACATAACACCAGGTTCTAAATTGCCAGTTTTTTGAGTGTTGTGTTCTAAATGATCACCTTTCTTGACTATAACTTGTATATATAGCTCCAGTAAAAAATAAGCTAACTGAAAGGCTGTATTTAGATGAGGAATAAAGTATTTTCCATTCCTCTCCAAAATTAGGACTTTTAGAAAATGTAGCAAAATTTAGTTTCTAATTGAAAGTTTATGTCACATGAAATCTAATGGAACAAAAAGATTTAACAATGCATAGGTCACTTTTTGCTATTTTTGCAAAATTAGCAATTTCAAGTAATTAACAGATATGACGACACACTGGAATTTTAAAAGGAGGAATTACTAATAAGTACTGAAGATTTTGTAAGGTTTAAATAGTCATGTCCTAATTTTTTTTTTTTTTTTTTTACTTCGAAACTATAGGATCATGACAAGCTTCTTGTTTTAATTATTTTAAGTCAAATATCTGCAGGATTATAAAATATTAACCTGGTCTCTGGTGAAACTCAGGTGGATAGTCAATCCTTGGTTTCTTTCTGCTGTTATGAATATCATAATCTTCTGGTCGACGCCTACACAAATTAGACACATTAGAAATTAAACCAAAAACTGCTGGGAGAAAAAATAGCAAAGCAAGAGTTTTTGATGGAGGTAAGTACAAAGAATAGCTCATTACTTCCTTTAAATTAACATATTAATTTTAAGTGAGTAAATTATCTTAACATTCCTCAATTTTAATTATTCAAATCCCTATGAACCAAACCTCAAATGCACTGCTGGAAGTAGATATTCTCTACAATCTCATGCTATGATGAGATAACCACAAAGAGTAATCTGATTAAAACATATAAATCACATTTTAGTAATCCAAACAAAAGTAAATGAGCCATCTTCAAACTAATATAAATATCCAGTGTTAACAATTAAAATATTTTCTCAAAGTCACCATTTAAGTGAAGATGAAAGAACAATAACCCATACCTTTATAACAGGTAATTCTAAAATCTATATATTTTGATTTACTAGTGCTGTTTTGAAATATAAATAAAAGAATTTCTTGAATATTTTTTCCTCTGCATAAAATCATACTTTTCATAGAAATACAGAAAGTCTGACATTTAATAAGAGCTACTTTACAATAAGTTTTAAAATACTCAAAAAATTAATATTCCTTAATATTTTTTCTTTCTGTGCTTAATCAGATTAAGGAATAAAGAAATATTTCTCCAAATGTCTTATAATAAAATTGGCTTTCATAAATTGGCAAGTAACAGGTTACAAGTTTTAACAGATGATAAAAGTAACTCAAACTGTATTCTTCAGAAGAAATTTTACTATTTGCAGAGGACGATTCATGAAACTTTATGGTTAGTGCATAACATCATAAAATATATTTTATTTACTTAGCATTTAGTTAAAAGCTAAGCAAACTTTAAAAATCAAAAATATTTAGAAAATGTACTTTTTACCCTTAATGTCAAATAAAAGCTGTAATAACCTGACATCATTACTTTTTCAGCTATTTCTCTGAATACTGCTTTTGTTAAATTTTGCAATACAACTTCAAAATGCAGAGTTAAGTGCAATAACCCCAAATCCCCCAACAGAATAAAGACAGTTGCATCTACAATAAATAATACTAAGAAAATTAAAAGCTGGTTTTAAAAATAAACATACCGCTTTCTTGTAGTTTTGGGAGTGCATTTACGACCGGTATAAAACATGATAGTAACAGTTCATATAGTAGTCCAACTACTGACTTTAAGCTGTAAGCCACATACATAAATGGAGGCCCTGGCAGGCTTGAGAGAAGGTGTAGTGGTGTATAAGTATAGTTAGCAGTCCATTGCAAAACTGAGGTAAAAACTTCACTTGTATATACTGTATTGCACTGGAAACCTCTTAGCTTAAAACTTCAAAAGACATCTTGGTGCTCAGTCCTTTTAAGCCAAAAGTAAGGGGCTCTGCCAGGATTCCTCCTACCTACTCGCCAGTGTCCTTTTTAAGATCAAAGAAATGGGACTCTTGTTGGATTATCTGTACCTACCACCGGATGTTTCCACAAAAAGGAAACTTAACCAAAGGTTTCATCCCATCAACCACATCCAATAGTCTTTAGCAGAATATTTTAGATTTAGCTGTATGCAAAGCTACACAGGGGAAGGTGTTGGGTAGAAGGGCTTAAACCAGTCCTTTGCAAAGACTTCTCTCCAATTCTGTAACAAGTTAAACCCCCTTTTCCTGGAAAATGCTGTTTAGTTCATAAAGTAGTGATCAATAACCATGGCGATCCTCTAAAAACCACTTTAAGTCCACAGGTACTGCCAGCATCTGGAAAAGTTGTAAACAGACACAGCAACAGCCCTTCGTTTTGGTTTGTTGCCGGGTCTCCCAGGGCCACTTGATCCCCTTTGGAAAGAACCTATTGTTTTCAGAAGCTCAGCAAGATGTGTGAATTCACTGGGTACATGTTAGAGAATATTTGGCAATGGGGTTAACGCATCACGGTGACAAAATCTGAAACAGTCCCAGTAATGCTCCTCTTGACCATCAAAATAACTTAAAATATTTTATCCTCTAAATGAGGCGTCATCTTCTGAAAAAATATAAGTGATCCTTTATAAAAGTCCCATATCTGATAAGGTTTATCCAGAGATACACCTGAAAGAAAAGGCTTTTTACAAAATATTAACATTTTTTTCAAATAAAGACATCCTCCTCTTCCTTTCTAGCCTGTTATTAGCAACAAATGCCTACCTCATTTCATTTCTGTACTTTATTATCAAAGTACTATAGAATCTAAACTGGTTATCACTCTTTAACAAACTTTTTTTTTTTTTTTTTTTTTTTTTT